TTGAACGGTTTATGAGATATGCTCCGGAAACGAAATCGGGCGGACGGACGAAACCCATTTCAATATCCCTCCCTAACTTCGTTCAGCGCGGGATAATAAAAGTTATCGCGTCCGGAAGCATCGACAAATCAAATTGCTCATCCCTGCTTTGCCTAAACGGAAAATGTTAATCATCGAACTCAGTCAAGCCATTTACCCAATGAACATCAACACCAAGTTTGAACATTCTACCTCAATTAAAAGCAAAGTTATTGTTTTGACCAATCAAATCGCTTATCGCTACAGAGCCCAACAGAAAATTATGATCATCAAACTTAGTCAAGGTATTGATGTACTGAAACTATACACCATGTTTCGCCACTCTCAGTTAATTAGAATACAAGTTATTGCGTCCCAAATCATTGACCCATCAAATTATCTGTCAGCCTTAGTAGAAAATGCTCATCATCGAACAGTCAAGGCATTCACCTAATAAAGTCTTAGCGAGAGAGAAATGGGGTTTAACGCCCACTCGACACAAACTAGGTCATTTCGGGACTAACATGTTTCACCACTCTTAGTTAACTAGAATAAAAGTTATTTTGTCCCAAAGCATCGACCAATAAAATTGCTTATCTTTGCATTCACCTAATAAACACCTACACCATGTTTGAACATTATAGCTCAATTAGAAGAGTTATTGTGTCCCAAAAACTGTGACGGACGGACAAGCGAACGAAAGGCGGAGGACAACAGAACATGTTTAAAAATGCTTCATGGTTTGTTTTTTTTTTAGACTGGATGACATTAAGAATATAATTTTTAATGTCTCTCCATGATCCTCTTGACAGTTCCATTCTCTTTCTTAAACATCTGCCACAAACCAGCTTACCGGGAACTTTCATTTGTCGAATGTTGTTACCCAACTCCTCAGAAACAGCTCTCTTATCATCGGCTGTCCAATATCTTCTGACTTGCTTACGTGTACCTTTCTTACTTCCATCATTCAAATTAACCCCTGAAAACATATCAGAATGAATGTTAAATTGTTTGAATGTATGATTATTCGTCGAGTGCTTTCACAAATCTGAGCATTATAGTTTTGGATTTGTTTGTAAGAGGGTTATATACAATCCTGTGTATATGCTTGCTAATACTGGAGTTGATATGTAACGAAATGTAATGAAAAGAGGGTTTAACATCAGACTTTTCTGCTTCATCCGGGCTAATGAAGACGGACATACTCTTATTTAGATTTCAACTGTCAAGGGTTCTTTTACATGCTACGTGTGAATGGGGACTCGTTTTTTTTGTCCCATCCGAACGACTACACCTGCACCACTGCAAAGGGGATGCCACGCAGAGTGCTATGGGGGAAATTTTGCCCGGACAGAGGTGCTACAGTTATTTTGAATTCCAACTGTCAAGGGTTCTCTTACGTGCACACCAACATGTAAACGGGGCCTCAGTTGTTCGTCCCATCCGAAAGACAAGACACTGTCGTAGCCAGATGTGCTTTCAAACAACATTTGGGCGAATGAAAGATTTCAATAAGAAACATTTCAGTGTCACCAATAACAAATATTCCGACCTATTAGCTTAATAAAATCCAAAAATAACAATACCATTACACAATGCACTTGGTAAATCAGGTGAAAACTTGGAAAAGACTAGGACACAGACCAGGGTTCTTAATCCATTTTTAAACGAATAACATTTTTGTGCACCTATTTGGTTGGTGTGATATTTGTATTACATGGAAGCTTGATATGTGTACGTGGTCCTACTACACGCACGGCACAACTTTGCCGTAGCAGTCCGCGTTTGCTACGTACCGTAAACTGCGTTAATTACTTGGGTGCATTCATTATCACAAAGGCAACTTACTGGACCAGTTATGTATTTTACGGGATTATCAAAATTACTGTTAAATGTGCTAATTACTCGGATCATATGTTCGACGTGGCCGATGCTCACTAAGGTATGACTGTTATTGTACATGTAGCTGACTAGTTGATTGACGTGTTAATCAACAAGTATTAATTAACTATTTGTACTGATCCGAAAGAAGATTGATTTATGATACCATAGTGGCCGGTTCATACTGGACATAATACTCGAACGTGAAATACCGCCGAAATCAAAACCAAATTTCAATACGGTTTTCTTAAGCCACCGGCATCGCGAAGACGAAATAACTGTATAATGCGATTTAATTTGTGTGAAATTGACAGCTTCCGGTATTTTGTCCAATGGAAAATATTGTCTTATCATGTTTCCAGATCCTATTTTGCACGCCATTAGTATGTCAGATTTTGCAATGATATGAAGTCTGAATGGCCGGGACAACTAAAGACTCAGGCCAAGTGCCGACATTATATTCTATTTATAGCTACCAGGATTTTTCTTTACACTGAACTGATGAGCTATTTTCTAATAAGACCTTTCGGCTAATTTATTGGATAAATATCATGATACGGTGAGAAATAGATTGTGAACCTTAAATTGAAATAATAATCGCAGTTATAGATTTTCTACTAAAAAATATTGTTTGTTTTGATAGAATAAATTTTGGTAAACCGATTCACCGATAATTGTTTCGGCCCTAATACAAACATTAATTCAAGTGATTTAAGAATATAACTATCTTTACAGAACTCGTTAGCTATACCCTTTTCTTTTAGTTGTGGGTAATAAATGATGTTTTCAGAAGGGATGGTATATCTAGACGCAAAAAAGCAGACATATGTTAGAAAGTATTTTCACATGCTATAACTCCTAAACAACACATACAACATAGTCAGTTAATGGAGATATTGCAAGCCGTGACAAAATTTGGATTTATTGAGCTACCCTATAAAAGGTTCCCAGAATGAATGTAAAAATGACAGAGCTCACACTGGGATAACTCAAGAAACTTACATTGTATCATCAGAATGAACATAGACATCAACATTAGGCCTATTATCTGCAATGTTTATGTCTAAGATTTTAACGGGCCACATTACAAAACAGCCGGGTATTTTATCCCATACACAGTTTCCTGAAATAAGAAAAATATAAAAGTAGTAAGACTTTTAGGTAGGTCGCTTCCCAAAACTTTCCTACACATTCAAGTAAACTCGCTCTACTGGCCATGTCATGGTGGGGTGAATGCAAGCTTTTAGGCTAGAATAAGAAACAACCATGGTTCAACTGGAAAAAGAGATATCCCCCACAAGTATGTCCAATTAACCATGGCTTAATGTGGGTGAGAAAAGTGACCAGTACGGGGTAGTTGGTATAATTGGACATCGGAACAAGAGTTTTTAAGTCAGAAGACATAATAACATTCCACTGCAGTAGTGGGGGTTTAACGTCCACTTAACAGAAACTAGGTCATTCCGGAACTCACGTATAGTACAATATTATTTCAATAACTCGCTTGCACGTAGGTGTCTTTAGGAGTGGGAGGAAACTGGAGGACCCGGTGAAAACCCACGAGGTTAGACAGGCGACCCTACGCCTTGTCACGTACAAGTGTTGGATCGAAACCACACCACTTGACTCAATGACGGACCTTACGATCTAAAGCGCATCCGTTAGACCATTCGACCACCATAATTCAAAAAGAGACTTACCTTTGAGTACAGGTTTTCCAGCAACATCATCCATATTCATATTGCGAAGTCCAATATTAAAATTATTACAATCTATTAAAAATACACATTAAAAGATTTATTAACAGTTAATACAGGTCCATGAATTCCTTGTTTACATGTAAATTTGCCTGTGTTCAGGACTATCCTTTTAGATTAGCACTTTGGCATTATTGTTTTTCTATTTGTTTATTTATTTGTGCAGGCGGTAAAATCCTCAAACATAAGAAACTAATAAGAATATGGAAAAAATGGCTATTGACCAAAATGGCTTGTCTAAAAGGGCTACGGTATCAAAAAAAAAATCTGAATGCAAGGAGCTGTGACAATGTAAACAAAGTTCTTGCCATCTATTGGCAGGTAAACTAAAATGCATACGGTATTGATGTAAGTCGCCTATTTAAAGAAATGACATAACTTCAACGAAAACGACAACATATTATTATGAGCTACTGTCTATGAGTAGACAACACAGAGTCAGAAAAAAAACCTAATCTTACGGATCCGTCGACGCCATACTGTTTCAACCATGTGTGTTAAATTGAAACGAAGTTTACAAAATACGTTCGTTGGCTTCGAAGACCAAAATAATTTTACTTGTTATTCACTGCAATATGCTCTTGAACAAACAAACGTCCTGTGCAAAAATACAAACTAACTCATCTACTAATAATTCACACTTAAATTAAGGAAACGTATTCTTCGTTCTTACCTCTAACATAATAGCGTCTCCGAGGAACGTGTGTTTGCTGGGTGACGTCACGTGATTCGCTAAATTACCCAGGAACCTCGTATGTCTGTTGACCGAGAGTAAACTGTGTGAAGAGAGCACACACATAACGGGTTTTACGCACTAAGAGTGGACCACGTAGAAATTTTGTCAGGTGAAGTAGACTAGGTTATCCAACATGAAAATAGACTTCAATTCTCCGAGGACCACGATTTTGGTCCTCGGACGATTTGTTGGTCCTCGGGTAAAAGCTGTGTTTTCTAACGAGGGTCCTCTGGTGATGGTCAATGCACACACACACACACACCCACACACACATAATTTGACACATTTAACACCTTTTTTAAAAAAATAATATATTAAATTATACAGCTACCATATCTTCTAACTCGTAGGCCTATGTGTCATTGAGTCAACTGGCGGGGTTTCGATTCTTATGAACCTACAGTTACTGTAACAGTTGTTCTGGTTTTTTCACCTAGGTGTTTTTTTCTAATACTCTATGACATAGGCCTCAAAAAGTGAAGCAAACTTTATGACCGTCTCTCGAAGTTCCAGTCCACCATTCACTGTCCCTCCACCTCTCCTCTGCAGTAAATAAATATCAATGCAAGCACCCACGGGGCTTAAAACATTATTTTCTTAAATTACAGATTTCCACTAAAAAACAAGAAGCTTCTGAAGAGATGGCTGTTAAACATTAGACGAGACAATTTCGTAACAGCAGATAGGATTATTAGGTACAAATTACAATTGATGATATTTTTAATTTTCATTTTATTGCTGTTTTTTTCATACTACTAAAAAAAAAAAAATATTTTGAAAAAAAAAAAAAAAAATTATTCTACAAAAAATCAAAAAATATTCTACAAATTTAATTTGTTTTTACAAAATTAAGTATTATTCTACATAATTAAAAATGATTCCACAAAATTAAAAATTATTTTCCAAATTTTCCAGCTCGAGTGAATGTTCAATTTAAAAGCATTTGTAAATGTGGTAAATCAATTTATTCTGCCAACGCACACAATTATTTAAAAGAACTCCTTTGATTTTCCATACTAGCCGTTTTGTTCTTCAATTTATAGTAGCTTATTGAGGAGTCCTAAATATCGTCATCATCCCCACCCAAACCATGTCGTTTCGCTCAATGAATGATGCATTTGCATTTAGCTTTATTAATAGTACGAGTAGAGCCTATTTATTCCTAACCGAGTGGAATTTCAAAGAAGATAAAGCCAAACAATGAGGTGTAGATAATATATTAGCCAAAACACATGATTTCGAAGCTTATTTGTTGAACCAGTGACGTTGTATCAAATGAAATACAAAATGAATTAACACAAAATTGGTCCTAGAGAAATAACTGACGGGCTGAAAGAAATGGTGTCATTGTCGGAAAAGACGCGTTGAAAGGTGTTGTGTATATTGTACAGCTAACGTTCGTACTAAACTAAATTACACACCCCGAACATTTAAACTTTAATAAACGTGCAATTATCGCACTTTTGTACTAGACAATGTAACGGAATATATATATATATATATATATATATATATATATATATATATATAGCTGTAGTGAGTTGTTGTTCTAATGTACAGTATCATATATCAAAGTATAAAATATAAAAATAACACCGATTTGCTTCTACATGTTTCAATATATTTTCATCAGGAAGCCATTGATACTAATAACGTTGCAAGGTTACCCTCGTGACGTCACAATAGAGGTACATTACATTGCATGAATGAATGAATAAATGAATGAATAGTGATGAATGAATAAACAAATATAATATGTACATAACACACTATTCAGTTAGCTACTTATCAATAGGAGATCAATTAAGCTAATTTATTTGTTTAGCAGAGGTCTAAATTTTTTAATGAAATATTCCTCTTTAACTGTTCTCTGTTTTGTGCAATCATTTAAGAACTGGTAAAACGGGAATATTTGGAATTTTGTATTAAAGTTGTGTGCACATATGTCCAGATGTTCGCTCAGGGATATCATGCGATATTCTGGATTTTTTATCTGTGATTTGTGTACAGCAACTCGCGATCTCAAATATTCAGTTTGACCGATATACTGCTCCGTACAACCCGGGCAAGTTATGGCATAGATCACATTTCGTGATGCACATGTTAAATTAGCATTCACGTTAAATGTCCCGTGACCTTTGAAGGTGATTGATGGCCCTTCCATAAGGTGTTCGCAGGTACCACAGTTTCCACGCTGGCATTTTTTCACCTCATATTTTGTTGGGTGTGATGATTCAGACGTGAATTTAGCCTTCGTAAGGATGTTTTTCAAACTATTGCTTTGACGTTTGCTGTTGATGATTTCTATTGACTTAAGAACTTCTTTCATCCGTTCATCATTTTCTAGCACTGGTAAATTATATCTAATTTTATTCATAATATCCGGGTTTTTAGGGTTGAAGGTCGAAACGAATGCAATAGGTTTTCGCTGTGAAGTGTTTTTCTCCTTCACCGTTAGCAGATCGCGTCTCTCTAGCTTTAAAGCTTTGGATATTCCATCGTTTATTAGATTTAGTGGATATTGTCTGTTTCGAAGGAATATTCGCAGCTCCTCGAATCGAACTTTCTGTTGGTTGTTGTCAGATACTATTGTTCGGATTCGCCTGGCTAGATTATACGGTAAACTCCGTTTGGTGTGACTTGGATGGCATGACGTGAACATCAAATACTGCTTGGTGTCAGTAGGTTTGTAAAAGATATCAGTTTCAATCTTTTCTCCTTTTTTGATAACCAACGTGTCCAGAAATGCTAATCTAGTGTTTGACATTTCCATTGTAAATTGTATATTGACATCCATATCATTTAATATTTTAAAGAAAATATCCAAGTCATTTTTTGAACGGGTCCATATTATGAAACAGTCGTCCAAATACCGACGCCAAGCTTTTATGAAATAGCTAATAAATGCGTCTCCGAATTGTAGTTGAACTTTTTCATATAGTCGTTCTTCTAAATAGGCTAGTACCAGAGTTGCATATGTTGGCGCAATTTTTGTCCCCATAGCTGTTCCTTTCATCTGTTTGTAGTGGTCACCATCAAAGTGGAAGGTATTGTTTTGAAGTATGAATTCCACACTTGAGATGACCAGTGAGTCAGATATCCGGCCTGGTAATTCGGTCGGGTATTTATCCAACCAGTATTTTAAACCTTTTAGACCGAGATCATGTGGGATGTTGCTGTATAGAGACGTTACATCAAATGACACCATCATGGATTCTTCTTGGACTTTTGTTGGCAGTTGATGTAGGAAATCCATTGTGTCACGTACATAGCTTTTCACGTGGCATATATATGGTTTCAATAAGATGTCAATAAAGTTGCTGAGGCGGTGTGTTGAACATGTTGGCCCCGCAATTATTGGCCTTGTTTTCAAATCTGGTGGATGTGGCATATTGACAAATTCACTGGTAGCTGAGGAGCATATCTCATTGATAGCCTTGCTTTTATGAACTTTTGGCAGGTCATTTAACCTTGACATCTGAGGGTCAAACCAAGGTCACCAAGCGACTCCCAGGCGTCGATTTTGTATAAGCGGCCGCGACCTCAAGGTCGTCGGATGCGATTCGGGAAAGGCCAGTTACCTCCCCTTTGACCACAGCATTAAAAAAGCCAGCTATTTGACTTGCTCAGACAATTTTGCCCCAAAAATATCTTCCGATCGGCTCGAGATTTGGTGACCCGATAGACCGACGCAACATTTGTTCTTTATTTTTTAAAATCGCCAACCAAAGTCGTGACCTTGACCCGCTAAGGACCCCAGAAATATTTCGGTTTTTGCCTCCTAGGGGCCAAACTAATTAAGTCAGGACCACCGGACCTTGACCTTTCGACATGGCATGGGGACCCGCGTGACCCTGGTAGGTCAAGGTCATCTGCAAGTGTCAAGGTCACCAAAATATCTACTGACTCGGGTGTTCCGGGGCATCTGGTTGGGTCCCAGGGCCACGTGGCATGTCCTACGTACTAATCTGAAATCTTAAACAATTATAAACATCCTAATACTACATACAAACTACGAAACCCTCAAAACCTAAAACCACCACTTGCTAGAACCACAACATTCCAAAAATCCTTCTTCCCCTCTACCATCAAAGCCTGGAATCGTCTGAACACTACTACTAAAACATCGATAAATAAGACAATTCTTAAACGTAATATCAAACCTAAACCCAACAAAAAACTATTTCGGACGTCCTATGTACAGGGGAACGTAAATATGTGATAATCCATACAAAACTACGCCTTAAGTGCAGTACACTGAAATCGGATCTATACCTATGGCGGGGTATCAGGTTCAAAATGCGATCTGCAGTAGAAAGTAGAAAATAAAAAGCAAAAGAGAAAATTCTTATCCAAAATGGTCATTTTCGTGTGGGAAACATATACCGCTCGTGCTTTTCAACCTAATACGTCCACCTTTTCAACTTTAAGTCGTAAATATTCTACTTTCAACAACAGAATTTCTACTTTCAATAATCAACTTTTGACATTCGACTTTCAACTTCAGATTTTCTACTCGAGATTTTCTGCTCGAGTTTTTCTCCATGCTTATTACGGAAATAAATTTGATCACGTGACTATTTCTGCATGTCATTAAAATACGATATTTAAAAATAAACGATCCCAGGGAAAGATAACTCTAGTTGTAAGACTAAGATAAGATGGAATCAGACTAGCAATTATTTGCCCATTGACTTCAATGTTAAATGGCTGTAACAGCACAGGCTGTAGCGGTTTGCTCAACATTCCATTGGTTCCAATCTTTATAGGCACAACGGGGACCACATTTGGCAATATTCTCAACATAAATTTGTACGGGGTTGACCGTTTAGATTTTTTGCTACGGGAATTTGAAGTTTACTGGGGTGAAAATCTCACTTCCGACACAATGATTGCTCTGCAGAAAGACACTTTACACCCCCTATCCTTCCGCTAAATATCATCAGTATTACCCCAAACTGCTACGAAATTGCAAAAAATTTGATCCCTTTTATCCATTTCTAGACCAAAAAGTCAACCCTAAAATGCAGGAAGAGTGGAGAAAAATTGTCTATTTATAACTCGCAGTTTAAACAAATCTGTTGTAATTTAATAAACAAACATATATGCAATGCCCTGACCAAAGATTATGAAAATCTATGCATTTTCAAGCGAGAGAGAGAAATGGGGTTTAACGTCAACTCGACACAAACTAGGTCATTTCGGGACTAACATACAGTTTTAATTTTATTTCAATAATTCGCTTGCGCGTAGGGGTCTTTAGCAGTGGGAGGAAACCGGAGGACCCGGAGAAAACCCACGAGGTTGGACAGGCGACCCTACTCATGTCATGTACGACCGGGGATTCAAAACCACGCCAGTTGACGCAATGACAGGCCTTATGATACAGCACGCACGTGCTAACCATTCGACTCCCCCCCCTATGCATTTTCAGATGAGCTGTGCAGCATTCTGCAAACACTGTAATATATCAGAAAACTGCGGAATTTCAGACGGAAATATAAAAGCACAAGAATTTTGAATTAAACAGAACATTTTTATTTTTGAACATAAATGCATTCTGTAAAAAGATGAGATAAATTCAATATAAATTAAACACGAAAATACTTTAAAACAGTAATCATGATGCAATATTAGACTTTTTAACACTTTCATCGAAAACCACACAGTTTTTCTCTGTTAACGTAGTCTCGAGTGCCAAATTGTGGTCAAATCTAAGATGTTGAAACAAGCAGTGCCTATCAATTTTAAAATATCTCATATATAGCTGTATTTCCATAGGATACGTAAGTTGAAATAATCTGATTATGTGACACTACAACAGCTTTTTCATCCCCACCACCCAGTTGGAATTTGATAATTTAAAAGCACAGGAATTTTGAATTCCACAGAACATTTTTATTTTTGAACATAAATGCATTCTTCAAAAAGATGAGATGAATTCAATGTAAATCAAACATGAAAATACTTTAAAACAGTAATCATGATGCAATATTAGACTTTTAACAATTTCATCGAAAACCACACAGTTTTTCTCTGTTAACATAGTTTCAAGTGCCAAATTGTGGTCAAATCTAAAATGTTGAAACATGCAGTGCCCATGAATTTCAAAATATCTCCTATATAGCTGTATTTCCACAGGATAAGTAAGTTAAAATAATCCGATTATGTAACACTACAACAGTTTTTTCATCCCCACCCCCAGTATGGAATCTGAAACATTGCTGACCATTCATAGGCCTCCCTGTTCACTCTGGCCTGTCAAATGATTTACAATGGCGATGGTGCCTACAACTTTCCTGACCAAGAGATATGCACAACCGTCAACACACAA